CTCTCTCTCTCTCTCTCTCTCTCTCTCTCTCTCTCTCTCGCTCTCTCGCTCGCTCGCTCGCTCCCTCCCTCGCTCCGTGACTCTCACCCTCTCGCGCCTCGCGTCATTGATTGTACACGACGAACGCGGACAAATGTGTCGCATTATACATGAGCGAGATGTTTGGGAGTTTCGGCGAAGTCGGATCGGACGCAAAACCGTTTCCACGGTGACGTTTCCGCGAGCCGCCGCTGGGATTTCCCGCCGATTTTTCCGCAGCGAACGAGACCACGCGAGAGCGGCAAACTTCGCGCTCGTCGCGACGCTGCTCTCCCCGGCCCCTCGCCCGACGTTCCATATGTCGCGCGCATCGATGATAGTTGTCTCGCGTTGAAATGTATACCGCGCGGCGACGTCCGTTTGTGATAAATCGATTGCGAGAAAAGTGACGTTGCCGTTGGCCGTTAATAATTGCGACGGCCGAATTTTAGTTCGATGGCAGCGGCAGCTGCCGTAATTCTCCGAAAATCCGCGAGCGCGCAACAGTTTCGGGCGACTGTACGGCGCAAGCCGGACGACAGACAATGGCGGCGGGAATCGTCTCGTAGGAATTATGCGTGGCGCCCGAGTTGCACGGCACGGCAGGATAAATCTGCCGGCGGGCGGTGCGAAGTGTGAAGGTGAAAAAGAGTTCCGGCCGCGCGCGTCCCGGAAGAGGCGAAAATCGTTAAAACGAAGCAGACGCTATTTATCGGCGAACGCGTTGTAACGATGTTTGATGCCGTCGATAATGCGTTGTTACGAGGTTACGAGGTTTACGCCGAAATACGATAACAATAAAATCAGCCGTGGTTACCGCGCTGAATCGGATTATATCCTGCATCGGAAATCGACGCAGCGCGCTACCGCCCGACGGACAAGCCCAGCGCGGCGCAAATTCTGACTTGGTGCGCGCTGCAGTTTTATTAATCTCTTTGGACTTTTCGCGGGGAAGAATCGCGAGAGCAAAAAGTACGAGACACACACGCGCACACGCGCGCGCGCGCGCGAGTCGCACCTCGCCGGCTTGGCGTCGAACTCGTTTCGCTCGGCGAGTGCGACCGATGAAGCTTGTTTTCGCCCGTACGACGGCGCACCAACACACCGACCATATCGCTCTCAACTCACTCGCATATTTTATACTCCCCCCCCTTCCGCCCTGCTACGCCCCGTTGCTGTCGAACAGCGACGTAAGAACGGCGAGAAGGCGACGCTGGAAAATCCGTAAGTAAGCCCGCGCGACTCGCGGTTTTCGCGCTCGCACGCGCACGGCGATTTTAATTTCGGCGGGATTTCAAAGGCATTTTTCGACGAAGGACGGGAAGCGTCAGTCAAAGAGTAGGGGGGCTGAGGGGCACGAGGTGGAGGAGGAGGAGGAGGTGCAGCAGGAGGAGGAGGAGGAGGGAATCGTCGATTGGCTTACATGCCACCTGTAGCACCGCGGGAATGCGGTCGACTCGCGCTCGTTGTGATATCGCTTAGAGGTCGGGAAGGGATTCATCAATAAAGTTTACTATTTTTCCGATATCGTTTTTCCAATTCTATAAATCGTCGTGTGCCCGCGCCCTCGTACATACGTACGTATGCACACATACACACACACACACACACACATATATATATTACACACGCATACACACCTAGCGGCCACGTCGTACGTAGCGCGGCGCGGCGCGGCGCGCGGCTCGCTCGCCCGCGCGGCTCCGTTCTCTCGCGCTGCCATACACACCGGCCGCGGCCGTGGAGCCCAGTTATGAATGGCCTACGTCGGTTGACGTTAATCTGCCACTTCATCTCTCTCATCCAGCAGCCTCCGCGCGCGCTCTCTGTACCGCGCCAATCTCTCTCTCTCTCTCTCTCTCTCTCTCTCTCTCTCTCTCTCTCTCTCTCACTCTCACTCTCTCACTCTCTCATTCTCTCCCTCTTTCCCTCTCTCCCTCTCTCACTCTCTCTCTCTCTCTCTCTTTCTCGCTCGCTCCTTCTCTCTCCGTCCCACCGCACCCCCATCTCCGCCACCTCCACCTCCTCCGCCTCCACCTCTTTCTCCTCCACCTCCTCCTACACCGCCACACGCGTCCGCCTCGAGCACCCACCCCACCCGCGCCCTGCCGCGTACCCCCTAACCAATTGTTTCGTCGGGGGAAGCAAAAAAAGGAAGGAGGGCGAGAGCGAGAGGCGAGGCGAGGCGAGGCGAGGCACGGCGGGGCGAGGCGAGGCGAGGCGAGGCGAGGTGAGGCGAGGCGAGGAAGGAGGTCGCGGGCGAGAGGGTGCGCGAGAAAAAAGGGTGAAGAGAGGGAGTGAGTGAGAGAAAGAGTGAAAGAGAGAGGAAAACTCGGCCTCGACGAAAAAATGCTTCGGCCCGTCGCGTTACATACGCGTGGCCACCAAATTAAATCGCTCGTTGTTTCGGCCGCGCATCCGTCCGTCCGTTCGCGTGCGAACGAAAAATAAAAAAAGGAAGAAAGCGAGAGAGAGAGAGAGAGAGAGAGAGAGAGAGAGAGAGACAGAGAGACAGAGAGAGACAGAGGGGGAGGAAAAAGCGAGAGTGAGAGAGAGAGGAAGGGGTGCGTTTATGGTGTATCTTGGCGCGCGCGGAACGTTTTATAGAAAACGCCACAGGTTTTCCGCGATACTCCGCTGAACGCGGGCGCGTCCGAATTTGAAGCCGCAGTCTCGAAATGTAACATCAACGGTCTGCTGCACTCCTCACGGAGCATCGATAAACGTCGCATCGGAAAAAAATTAACATCCTGAAGAGAAGAGCGTTCTCTCTCTTCCCCTCTCTCTCTCTCTTTTTCTCTTCCCCTCTCTCTCACTTTTTCCCTCTCTCTCTCTCTCTCTCTCTCTCTCTCTTTCTCTCTCTCTCTCTCTCTCTCTCTCTCTCAGGTAACAAGGCCCATGTAACGTCGACCCTATCCTTAATTATTAAAACACCGCGGCAAATTTTTCACGAGGTTTGCCTTGCTACGTACACACATACCAAAATGCACGTAGAAGAGTGCATTATAATCCAATTAAGCTGTATGAGAAGGAAAGAATATCAGGACTTCATTTTTGATATAATATCGATTTCAGCCGTCATCGTTAGATGGACCTTCCCTCCCCTCCCCGCGCAGCGCTGCACGAAGTAGTGAAAAATGGACTCATTCTATCGAAATTCGATTCTTTGCCGCTACAAGTCGCGGGCCGCGCTTTAATCACGAGTCGCCGCCATCGGGAGGAGACTCCGACGAATTATGCGACCGGTGGCGCACGAAGATCTCTAGTCGCCAAGATGGAATCTTCCTTTTCTTCGACTTCGCTGGGCGCAACTCATCAGCGGTCCAAGTCCGAGACTCGCGGACGATTAATACCGAAAACGTCGCAGCCGACTTCGACATTCTGTCGTTCGGAACCTAACCTTTCGAATGCACCGCTCGCGCGAGGTCTCGATCCTTTCGTTAACAAATTTAGCGGAAGGTTACGCGGAAGAAAGGAAAACCCTCGGTTGTATCAACAAAAATTCCTGCAGGAACCTTCATCGATTGTCAATTGATCCTGGTCGTCTCAAGTGGATATTTTAGAGTAGCCGGATGTCCGCACGAATGTCTTCGATCGCGGGAAACGACGTCGTTTCCGAGTCACGAGTTGTCTTCGTCTGGCCGTTATTCACTCGCACGAGCACCGACAGATATCTCCCTTCGATGTATATGTATGCGTGATCGAGATTTACCTGCGTCGTAGCGAGCCGGCGAAATAAAAAGCCGTCTGCCGAGCGCGGCTCGTCCTCTCTCAGCTCGTAGTTTCATAGTCCGGTGGTTGTTCCGCCGCCGAAGGATACCGATATCGCCGCCCGCGTCCTGTAAGATTTATTTGACGACACGAGGGTGGAAAACGAGGCCGAGGGAGAAAACGCGGGATTTCAAAGGGAGGGCGATTATTCGTTCCGCGCGAGGATGAGGAGCGGGGAGCCGCGCGAGGGCGTGCGGCAGGGAGACCGCAGTGGGGAGAATTCGATCGAGGGGGAGAGAACATTTTGCGTTTAATTCTTGCATTTTATTCCCCTATACGGCAGACATACAGGACTAACCCGACGACGGTGCGCACCGTAAGCTTGAAGCGCACGAGAGTTCTCGCGGAGCGGAGTCGTTCTCGCAGCAAGATCGCCGGGATACGACTGCGAGTTCTTCGGATTGCTCGCGGCCCCCGCATGATCCGTGAGAGAATTCGAATATTTGTATGAGACTCGCGACTCGCGGGAGCGCGCGAGATAAACGCGCAAAGTGCGACCGTGACTAATTACTCAATGCTCATTAGTCGAAAAGTGAATCCGTTTGCCCTTGTTTGCCGTGAGAGACCTAAATGGATATTCTATCCGTCTTTATTACTATGAGACATTAAGTTTATCTTCCATTTTATCGGGTCACGTGCGAGACTCGGTTGGATTAGTCGGCACGCAACGGTACACAAGACACCAAATAATACCGTCGTCTCCGTCCGCGACGCTGCGAAAGAGGACGCTGCCTCAAGAGCGGGCTCGTCGAAGTGTAGCACCGAATAAAAGTACATTAACGATACACAATTCAATTACAGAACACTATTGTACGTGATTGTGGCATATATAGCTCGATCGTGCGTTGCTGTTTCGTATAGACTAATTAAAAAACTAAATGGTAGTGCTATACAGGTGCTATATATACGTGTGTATGTGTATACATACTCACACACATACACACATATATAAATATATATATTTATATGTATTATTTATACATATATATATATATATATATATTTATACGTGTATATATTTATATATATATATATATTTATTTATATATATATATATTTATACGTGTATATATTTATATATATATATATATTTATTTATATATATATATATATGTGTGTGTATGTATGTATATATACTGTTATTTCTTACTTCGAATTATTAAATACGACGTTCCCTTTTTTTTACAATATGTACAATTTCGCATTACATGATCGTGCGCGAGCATGGCGCATACTCGACGATATGTTTTTCTTCTTGCGCGAAGGCGGAGAAAGGACAGGCACGTACGTAAAAACTACAATCGGCAGCTCTAAAGCGCGCGCCTCTCGTCGAGGTGTAATCACTTTAATTTCGCGTAACTTATCATTATACCTGGGGTTGCATTGTCGTATAAACATTACTCGTATTTATGGTCCATAACTTTGACAGGTAATACTTTATGTTTCTCGCGCGCATACGTGCGTTATTCAATACCGCTGCGGAAAGTACTCGTCGCGCGAGAGATTCGTGTTTTGCGCAGTCTCTCTCTCTCTCTCTCTCTCTCTCTCTCTCTCTCTCTCTCTCTCTCCCTCCCTCTCTTTCTCTCTCTCGCGGGCGTTCTCTCTTATTCGGTCGTCGAGAAGACAGTGCAAGAATATTTTCGTGTGGAGACTAAGCATTCGCCTTCTCTTATGACGCCATCAGTAATCTTTCTCACAAATGCCGGAAACGCTATAAATACGAAGCTTATCTGTATAATTCGTCGTACCTATTCAATAAGTCTAACTGCAGAGGCGTCCATTTTCTCTTCTCGCCACGTGAATTTCGTAGCGCATTCGTCGTTTCGCTCTCCCGGCCTGCGTGAGGCCTTTTGCACGGCGATCGCATGGCGAGATTGTGCGGCTTAAATAAATGAAATAACTCATCGATATATACTCAACGGGGGGAGAGTACGTACATGCGAAAGCTGCATTTCGGAATGTAAACATAAGGTCCACGGTACACCCGCGAAAGTAGCGGAGACCCTTAAAAATTACGCGAGCAAATTAACTTCCACCCTGGATCGAACTTTGTTCTCGCTACCGACTTAATCTTCCGATGCATCGGTCTATTCCCTTTCTTTTCAAGCAGGAAAATCATATACACCCCAATATACGCATACATATATCATATGCATAAAAAATATATTATATATATATATATATATATTGAATGACTATTGTACATAATCGAATAACAAGAATCGTAAACGACTACGATTTTTATATCGCCTGTTACGTACGATTATATGTATATGAGGTTAAAAAACTGTCTTGGTTCTATTTAAAGTTGGATACATCGGAAGGTTAAAACGACGAAACTTAAATAATACAATATCTTTGTGAAAACTAAGTAATAAATGAATAAGAACGAGTGGAAGCTCGTTTACTAAAGAAGTCACACTATTAAATATCGGGCGAATAATTACTAAGTCATATCTTCCATTAAAGCCGTTCTAGCCAGTCATTCGATTATTAAACCTCGCGCGAATTTTTACGTTATAATTCAGATTTGTACGAGTCAGTTAACAATTTAGCATGAAACATCTGTACGTCAATATATTTCTATTTACATCAAGCGATAGTTTATCGAAGCGTCCACGAGGACTCGAAAGATATGTGCGTTTCTCGTTTGAGCGGAATGTACGTAAAACGGCATCGTCATGCTGAGCGTTTTGTAAGTTAATAAAGAATTATTATAAAAGTAAAACCCATGCGGCTCTCTTTTGAGAGTTCATGATAAGTATGCTCCGGAAGAAACTTCCAAGCTCACAATTACTCGATTCGGATCATCTCGATTCGGTCATCTCGGGAAGAACGGTTGCTTCGAAATCTTTATTTCTCGGCAAAATACAAGAACTATTCTGGGGCGTTCCGTCGACGCCCTCGCGTTATCGGTACATAGTCTCTTCCCTACGCAAACGCGCGTCCACGTAAGAAAGAAGGAGCATCGCGCACAGCGAGAATCCGTCTGCGCTGCGATTCTCGCTGACCGTACAAAGTTCTCTCCGAAATGAGCGATTCGACCGTCATGGAATTTCTCCCCAGCTTGCCAAGTCCCTCCGGCTCTTGTCAGCCCCGTAGGTCGTTCGCGTCGACGTTTCCTCCAGCATTTGTCTAAGACAATCGCAACGTTTCTCATCCCTTGACACGCTGACGCATCAACGACGGAGCTCGGTGACTCTTTCGATGTTAGTTCTTGGTGAAGCTGATCTGTGAAGTTAAACCATGTTCCGCTATCACCTCGCCTGGCACTTGCTTCACGTCCACGACGGCGTTATTCGTGTTATTGATGTGGAAATATCGGCAGAGTGTTATCACGAGGTACAGGCCGAACAGGATGCCCAGGATGGCACCGGCGGTAACGTCCCACCAGTGATGTCGGTGGTCGCTGACTCTGGTTACGGAACACGTCACGGCCCAAACGCACGTTAGGCACTGCAGCCACGGCTTAAGGAACCAGAACCGGGTGGACAGGCGAGCCTGCAGGTACCACTGCGGGGACAAGAGATCCGGGTTTGAAATCGAGTGACGAAATTCTTATCTAGTCGAGGTCGCGGAGGAGCAAGGCCTGTTAAGGACGCGGGGTCGAATCCTTCTACGTTCCCGTCTGACGTCACTTTCGACCATGTTCGTTTGCCTTTCTTACTTTCGAGCGCGAATCGCGACCGTTCTCCACGGCGAGGAATTTATTTCGCGATTATCTCGCGCACACGTCTCGCTGTTTGTCTATCGCGGCGCTTCGCGAAAATCGATATGCCGTTAGTCCGGATTTTTTTCAGATTCTTTCCAGTCGGTCGCTTCGATATTGGCTATCGGTATCTCGAAGGGAACATCCCCGATGTCGGCGTAGTCGTTTCCTGCATTGCCAACGCGAGGCAGATGAACGTTGACGCTTCTTTCACGGATGAACCGAGATAAGGTGTTCTTTCTTCCCGCGTTTGTCACTTATCGGGATAAATATTTTGTGCGAAACTTACTATTATGAAGATAGCCATGCAGACGGACAACGCCGTGTGGCCGGAAGGGAAAGACCTACTGGCGTCCATGACGAACCACGATGAGCTGACACAGGTGTAGTCTTCGAAATACCTGCGTGAAGAATTAGAAAATGGTATTAGTAGAGTTGCAGCTTCAATTACGAAAAAGGAAAGAAACGCCAAACGCGATACGGAGAGACATAAAACGCGTCAGAGATCTTTAGACGACCGACTGTACGCTGCGAAAGGTAGACGTAGCGAAAGAATCTACCTCGCTCGCGATTGGTAAGCACGCCACTTTGTGATTGAAACTCGAAAATTACCGAGTGCTAATATCGCTAATGGCCGAGCGCCCAAACTAACTAATGCTCGGTCGTTAGGTTGGATTCTCGACTTCCACCTACACCTACAATTGCTCGCTTATCGGAGAGATCGCATCTCGAATGTTACTGCGCGTGGTCTGACAAGGCCACCATCTACATCCTAATCTTTTCCTATTCCTTATTATTTCCTAATCTTTTTCGAAGAACTGTCTGAATTAGTGCACAGTGATGCGATAAATTAGAATGAAAGAAGATACACTTGTCTCACTCTAACATACTGCGTCGGTGTGCACCAGTTCAGCAAGTCCTTCGACAAGAAACAATTGTATCTAATATGCGTTCGGCTGTACGATATTATCGACATCATTTCTGCTGAACAATCATCGTCAGGTTCCATCACGTTAGGCTCCTTCCTTCGCCAGACCACGCGTCCACGCGTAACACATGTAGACCCTGCGACACGTCACTCGCGCGCTCGCCTACCGTAGTGCTGCCCACGCCATGACCGGAGAGCCGACCTAATTAGACGTAGGGTCTAGGGTGCCCAGCCAGGACAAAGGAGAGCAAAGAGGATCGCTTACTCATTGGTGCAGTTGATCGCCTCGTGCGGCTTGCACGTGTCGAGAAAGTGTGGTCTCGGTTCGCCGATGAGGATTTTCATACATTCGCAGATCACACCGACTATGACCTGGACTGTGGCGCAATGGCGATACCAAGTCCAAATATGCTTCCATCTGGAGTTGTAAGTCAATTTGTTCTTGTAACTGTCGGCGGGATAGCAGGCGCACTCCACGATCCACATCTGAAATCGAACCGAAAAAATCCATTAATTATCACATTAATTATATTCATTAATTATTTAGGTATCCACACGTGCGCCAATTTAGGCGTGCAATTGACACGGGAGATTTATACTTGTCATTCACAACGTATAATACAAATATGCAGAACGCATGTAGAAGGCGTGTGCAAAGAAGGATCAATAATTGGTAAAATATATGATATGATAAAGGCGATGTCAAGAAATTGCTAAATGTGACGCGGAAATGTGTGCTTATCATTCAGTATCGAAAATACAACAAAGATACAGGTGAAGCGCGTGTGCTCTCACCATTATGAAAGGTGCGATGAAGGCGCTGCACAGCAGTAAACTCGTGGAGATCGTGTCGCCGGTGTATTTGAACGAGATCTTCGGGTCGTTGCAGAAGAAGCCCAATTTTTTATGCGGGATCTGGCCAAACTCCAGTACTACCAATACTATGGTCACTGAAAGGCACAAACACAGGATATATTGCAAACTGCTTTAATTGATTTATTAATTGCTCTTTAATTGTAACTTTATCTGCAAATCGCAATGACTAAGATAAAATGTTATCAATGTATTGACATTGAGGATCAACTTTGAAAACAACCGTTTCAGTCAGTTTTATTCAAATTTATATGACAGTTTCAAGTTTACATGACAGTAAACTGTGACCCGTAAATTTGTGAGACGCATCAATGTATCACCGTCGCGTGTACAGTGCTGTACATCGATGTACAGTAACTAGTGGCTAGAGATCATGTAACTTTGAAAGTTACGGAGTTTTTCACTCTTCACCCATTTCGCTCATTCCGCTTCCGCGTGAATTTCTCCGCGGACTGATTACGTCACTAGATATGTAGAAAATAAAAACATCAAACACGTTTGAACTAACGTCTTCGATGGGGAAGACATGTTATTTAATTTTAAACAAGATTATATACAATCATAAGAACTAACTTTGTTTCCTGAATATTTATGGGAATATCAATATGTACCAAGATGGAAAAATGTCTAGATGTACCAAGACGGAAAAATGTCTAGATGTCAAGACTGAAGAAAATTTAGACGTTTACTCAATTCCCGTCCTTTCGCCATCAGCTTTCAAGGTGAAAAAGTTTACGTAAAAAAAAGAGATTCACGCTTCTACAGTTCAACAAATTACATGTTCGCTAAAATCGCTAAACCTTTCATGTGAAACTTTTCGCTCTTCGCGTCTTCCTTCTAAGCAAACATGATTATGTCATTGTTATTCCGATGAGCAATAAGCTTTTCTGTATATACATATTAATATATTATTTGATAAATATTAATGACAGCGGTAAGGAAATATTAGATAGAAAGATTGATGGCTTAGAATAATGAAAATGATAATATTCATCATGCGATGATGAGCGCTATTTTAATAGACTTTTATTTTAATAGACTTTAGACGTCACTACATCTTTCAGCCGAGTTCAAAGGCCTGTTCCGAACTCGGTTTCGGAAACTTCGGTTTTCAGTTAATAGGTTGGTAGGTCTTAAACTAATTTAGATACATCCCATAATTGATCGGCTGATCAATTATCAAGATAATAAAAAATCTAACCATTTTTCTACTTAATATCTGCCCAGAAAAGTCCTTACCGATTTTTGTTGGTCACAATTCTAGGAATTTTTATGATTGACAACTATGTGTATACAATATACGAGGTGTGGCTATAAAATAACGAGACTATTGCTGCAAAACATTTTATTTTAAATTTATACATTTTTAGTTATTATCACCTTCAATATACACCCCTCTTCTATCCCTACAACGCTCCATGCGAATTTTCCATTGTTCGAAACAGTGCTGGAAGTCTTCTTCTGTGAGCTCCTTCATGACGCATGCCGCTTTTTCTTTCACAGCTTCAACGGACTGAAATCTTGTTCCTTTTAATGCAGATTTGACCTTGGGAAACAGATAAAAGTCGCATGGTGCAAGGTCTGGCGAATAAGGCGTCTATGGTCTAACACTGGGATGTTGTACTTGGCTAGAAACATCTTGACAGGCAATGCAGAATGAGCCGGCGCGTTGTCTCAATGGAGAACCCATGACTTGTTCTTTATGTAAAATTTGCCTTACGCATTCTTTGTCAATTCCTATAGTTTCAGCAATCGCACGAATAGTTAACCGACGGTCAGATCGAATCAGATTGCCGACTTTTTCAATATTTTCATCCGTTTTTGACGTGAAAGGGCGACTCATCTTCAACGTCTTCTCGGCCATCTTGGAAACGCTTAAACCACTCAAAAACTCGCGCACGTGATAAACATTCATTGCCATACACTTCTTTTAATAAAAGATAAGTTTCAGTAGCGCTTTTTCCAAGTTCCATGTGAAATTTTACGACGATTCGTTGCTTTATTATTACATTTATCATTTTTCCGGCAAAACAAGACAACAGCTCTTATACAAACGAAGGCAACGGCCAGATTAATTGATTTACAGACACGGGAGGCGCCGCATTCGAAAGAGAAGGCTTCACGTTACACAACTGTCAGTCGTTCGCGTTTGGCGCATGTGTACTTCTTCTGTGGAAGCATCAGTCTCGTTATTTTATAGCCACACCTCGTATAACTCGAACTATAAAATACACTTGAGTCACTCAATTGTCACATTTACAGCAGTAAACATCAATTTATATTTTTTATCCATTTAATACGGCTAACCAAAAATAAATTATTCGTGTTTCTTGTACGAGTTCAAACGTGAATGCAACGTATCAGAGGCTTGTCAAAGTATTTGTATGGCATTCGGAGAAGATGCAGAACGAACTCGTTGCTGATTTTAAAAGTTTGTTTCAGGTAATAGTCTTCGGAGCACACTTCAAGCAGAGTGCTATCGACACGCACGCGCCAAACATGATTATGTCATCGTTATTCTGATGAGCAATCAGCTGTTTTGTATATACATATTAATATATTATTTGATAAATATTAATGACAGCGGTAAGGAAATATTAAGTAAAAGAAAGATTAGAAAACGATGGCTTAAAAAATAATAATATTCATCATGCAATAACGAGCACTATTTTAAGAGACTTTAGACTTTAGTCACTACATCTTTTAGCCAAGTTCAAAGGATCGAGGATATATCCCGATCTGGAAAATCGCTTTTCTTAAATAACGAGGACCTGAGGACTGCAATTGAGACGAGTTCAAAATCTACAGAAAACTTGCTACTGCATTTAATATTAATAAAATGACATTTAATGTTAATTCGATATTTCTTCATATAAAAAACGGCGAAAGCTTCTCTGGATATCTAATATTGCAGAATTAATAGCTGGAACCAAGTTTGTATAAATAGTACAGAAATAGTGGTACAGAAATAGTCTCACATGACTGTGAAAGTCCAAGCATGATCAGCTGATCAATTGCGGAACGTGTTGAAGTTAGTTTAAGGCCTAGCAACTTTATAATTTGAACCGAAGTTTCCAAAACCGATTTCGGAGCACACTTCAAGATGCTATCGGCACGCACGCGCAAGTGACGCCATGTTCATTGTCGCGATGAGATACGTTCGCGCGCAACGCAAACAGAACTAGCTAGATTAGACCAATATCTCGCGATTGTCGGGATCGATAAAAAGTTACATTCGTTAACGCGACCGGTTTACACTCGTTTCCGATCTTCGATATTTCTCACTCTCGTGTACGCACCGAATACATAACGATTGCAATAAAAACACTTGGCTAACAAGCTCGGCATTATCTTCGACCTCTCGCCACTTTCCGCTGCTTCCCTCACACGGCGCTCTGTCCTGTCTGTATTATGGGATTTTTTCTCGCCAGTATGGCGGTTTAACGAACGGATCACCATGCCGGCACTAGCCACCAGGCAGCGAGCGTCTCGCGGCATTCGCACTCGTTCGCGTTCACACGAGCACTAACTCGAGAATTTCAAGCAGAAGATGCAATGAGTCAAGTCATCATCTCATAAAATGACGTGATACCGTACGGCGCGTGCGCGTATTATAAATACTGTGCGGTCGCGCTGGTCATATTGCGATTGTAAATGTCGCGCGATATGTCAATTCCTTTCGTTCATATGTTATGTTATGTGAATGGACAAAAACCGCGATTTGCATACGAATTCATATGCAAATCGCGGTTTTTGCGAAAGATAAATGTACCGCGTTACGCTACGTTAAGCAACGACTAATTATTGAGACTTTATTCTTATCATCTGTTCACCTTTTTATCATCTTTTATTATATTTGAATTGTACCAAACTAAAACTTTATATTACTGCCCAAAAATATCTCATTTTATCACATTATAAAATACAATGTCACTTCATAAGTTAGTAATCATTTAGAAGCAAATTCAGTCGAAAATATTAGTCAAAGGTAACAGATCATTGATATAGGCTTTTGAAATTGGTTTTCATGGGAAATCACATTTCATTTTCGTATACTTAGTACTTACTTTAGCGGAGCCATTTGACACACTATCACGACTTTTTCCCGGCAATTTTTACCGGTACGTTCACCTTACATTTCCGATTTCCTTCACGGAAAGGAAAGCTCGCACAGTTCGTGCGATTAAACAGGTGCCGGACGGAAACTTATGACTCAGACATGATATTTGAGTAGAAATATCCTACAAAGATTTCTTTCTTCGCTTGCCTATGCACAATATGAACGACCTATAAACGTGATAACATATGAACTAGGAGAATTTAAGTCGGAAACAGTAAAGTGACGCACAGTGTCTCACATCGGAATTGATGATGTGCGCACATGGGAAATTTATTAACTAACAGCGGAAAATGACGTCGGATTACTCATTCCGGCGCCGCAAATTCCGCAATAAAGGGATTTCCATAACTATGATTGTCTGTCGTATCCGGAAGAAGGAAGAAAAAGTACCTCGCGTTGATGATTCATCTCGGTGGCAGGTTGATTAAATTGTCCTAATAAATGGCTGTGAATAACGGGATGAAATAGGTTGCAAAAAATATAGAGAAGATACATTGGTGTATGATTCGATAATTCGCGTTATCGCATATTGTCGTAAACAAGTTATTTTACAGGTGCGTGAGGCGTTTGCAGTCCTGCGTATAAAGACATTAGGCATACAACAAAGGTTTGACGATCTTGGCGAATGAATGCTGAATGCGTAAGATAGAAAAGTAAAAGTTAAATAGGAACAAGACAACGGAGGAAATTAGATAACAAATGGCGCGTTCGGAAAGACTCTATTAGTATTACTTAACACTATATAAACTGTTCGCGGAGCTAGGTGACAGCGCTAACAAACGCTGTCATGAAATCAATGATTGCATTGCACACCATAATTACGCTATTTTTCCCATGGCGGTGCATCGATAGCGTTAGCGTTTATAAGCTTCGTGAGAGCCCAAACCGCACATCACTGCACGTTAGTGCATTTCAATGGTACGTATCTACATCGTCTTCATTATTTCGCTATTTACA